GGGCACTGTGTCTTCCACCACCGCCCACCCGCACGCACTCCGTTGTCTCTCCGACCCCCCGCCCCCCCCCCCCCCCCCCCCCCCCCGCCTGTGGTGGAATGGTTCCGTCCAGCAGCGGGACTTGGAGCTGCGCGTGCAGGAGCGGTTATTCAAAGCCGCAGCTGCAGCCTCGCTGTGACGTAACTCCCGGTGCGCGCGCAGCGGGAGCCCACGGAGGAGGAAAGCGGCGGCTCGTGTTCTCCCCCCGCCCCGCCGCGCGTGGCGTGAAGCTGGAGCACGGAGCCCGGAACCCGCCACCCCTGCGCTGGGCCGGACCGGAGCAGCCGGGCCTCTGGACCGAGGTCCTGGCGGAAATGTCCCGACACATCTACATCCGGAACAAGCTCGGAGAGGCGCCAATCTTCCAGGTCACGTGACCCCTGATTGATTATTGGTTATTAAACAGTTGAACACGTTGACGTCATAGTTAAGAGTTATTAACGGATAAACGGTTAAAGCAGCTAAAACAAAATCAGCTTCAAACTGAATATTTCACTTCAATATTCTTCTTATTTCTTGTAAACAAAAGTATAAATGTGAACGTTCAAGTTTAAATGAAGCTCCGGAAGTGACAAATATTGTTAAAATAGTATTTCCTGTAAAAAAAAAAAAGCTTAAAAATATAATTTTAGTGCAGCCAGTAACAGGTAAGTTTATTAACAAGCTTGTTATAAAAACTTTTTTGTGTTTTTCATAAAATAACTGATCAACTCGTCGTTTATTTGGTTCATTACGTGGAAACAGGAACATTTTATTACAACATGGAGACAGAAATGTGGGTTTATATTCAGCACTACGCCTTGATCAGTAATTAAACACTAATCATTTTACAGATAGTAAAATGATCAGTAATTAAACACTAATCATTTTACAGATAGTAAAATGTGTGTAAATGAAATTATTTTTAGGTTTTGAAACGCAGGTTTTCAACCAGCAGCTCAGTTAGTTGTCGTTTTAAAAGACGTGATTCTAGCTGAAGACGTAGATTTGAGTTTCTTCAACAGGAAGATGTTCGTATGAACAACACGTGTTCCTTCCCGGCGCTGCTCGACCTGAGAGGCGACCCAGATCCACGTCCAGGGCCCAGTTTCCACAACTCCAGGGGCTTTTTCAAACTCTCTCTTTGTGATTAGCTCCCGAGGCTTAACGACATAATTAATTCAGCTCCCCTGAGGTCGGCTCTGCTGCTGTTTTTAGATCGTTTGGAGGAGGTCTCGTTTGATAAATCCTCCCAGGAACCGGAGCGTCGTCCTGCCAGGACCTGCCAGGACCTGCCAGTTTTACCTGTTTGTTTTTCCTGCAGGTGAATCGGGGGACTTACTCCAGGAGGAGCCGACTGAAACGGTCCGATGGGAGCACCACGTCCACCAGCTTCATCCTCCGACAGGTACGGGCCAGGTGTGACCCCGGAGCGCCTGTTCCTATTGAACGTTTCCTCCAGAGAGGAGAAGCTTGAAATCTGATTTCATGGTCGCTGCGCGTCCTCTGAACACACACGGGCAAATATTTAGACTCGGCAACACTTTCGCCCACGTTTCTGGCTTTGGAAGGCGGCAGGTTTGTCATCGAGACAATGAAAAGGTTTCAGCGCTGAACTGTTCATGTGAGCTCAATCTGAACAGCCGAAGTTTGCTGAAGGCAGCAGAAAAAAACTGTGAAATGTGTAGGAAAAGCTGAAACAGACAGAGAAAGGATCAATAGATGGAAAAAATAAGTAAATCTGAAATTAGCAACAAACAAACTGAAATGAGCAGAACAAAAGCTGAAATTATCATTAAAAAGTAGCTGAAAATCAGCTAAAATTGGCAATTAAAACTAACTGAAAATCAGCTGAAATTAGCAATAAATCTAGCTAAAAATCAGTTGAAATTGGCAATAAAAAGTAGCTGAAAATCAGCTGAAATTAGCAGAAAGTGCTAAAGAGATGATAAAAAGTTAAAATTGTTAAAAACAAAGAAAAAATTAGAAAAGTTTAGCAAATTAAAAATAGCTGAAGAAAAGGCAAAATTTAACAGAAACCTATGTAAAAGTAGCTGAAAAAGCAGAAAAAAATTATGAATTTACGTGAACAAAGTTGAAATTGGCAACAAAAACGTAGCCAATAAAAGCTAGGACTACTAGCTAAAATTAGTTTTAACAACGTTGAAATTATTAGATAAAAAATAAAAATTTGCTAAACAAAATCTAAAATAAATGAATAAATTAATTATTTAATTAAAAAAACTAAATCTACTCAAAAAGTACCTAAAGTAGCTGGAACAGCTGAATTTAGCTGAAAGGAGCTTAAATCAGCAGAAACAAGTTGAAATGAGCAGCTAAAGGTTGCAAGTAGCTGAAAGGGTTTGAAGAGAGCTCCGTTCATTTTCATTGAGAGAAACATGGCCGACAAAGGTAAAATTTTCTAAAAGTAAAAATAACTGAAAGAGCAGAAGTCTCGGCAGGAACGTGTTGAGGAAGTGGAACGTTTTGAGACATGAATTGTTGAAATGGATCAAAAACTGAAGAACGATTCGAAACATCCACACAATAAAACATCAAATACCAATGGGTTTGAACTTTTCATTCATTCGTTTAAAAGAGAATTTTATAAACAATAATTTAAAACACAAGAAGAAAACAATCTGATCACATCGGCCCCTTCTCTTCAATAAATAAATAAATATGAACATAATTAATACGTAAAGTTTCAACATGAACAAATTGCAATATTTGTGAATAAAATCCAAAACTGAATCAGCTCCATCAGGTCTTATTCCAACATCAGTTTATCAGTACTACCTCTTGTTGGAGATTATTTTTATCTAGACTGGTCCTACGGTCTGGATCTGCTCAGAGACGGATTATAATGAAACTATGAGCCGGTTCTGACTGGGTTGAACTGGGCCAGAGTCTCCCTGGGATTCAGTATCAGTCAAGGAACAGAGTTTAATCTGCCACATTACATAGGAAGGCTTTTGAAGCGCCGTCTCATATTTCCTAACACATCAGAACCACATAAGATCCACTGAGGTCACACTAAGCCACGCCCCCTCATACACTGACAGGATGAGCTCCCCTTCTGTGAAGGACGAGTCCAGGAGCCTATAAATGAGTAATGACACGGGACATGGGGGCTCTTCTTCCAGGTCTGTGAACGCGTCACAGACTGTAGAGTCC